ATTTCTCCAGTCATGTGTGTCTGGCTATATTTACAGTATCACCTATGAGTTCCCCATTGAGAGGGCTGTAAGTCCAATTAGACAGCTGTTGATTAGCCACTGGATAACAGTGCCACTGCTGCACCAATAGAGGTAGGTTGCTGTGCCAGTTGTTGTGGTTATTAGGCTTTAGAGCTGGGTTGGAGTGCTGACTGATTTTCTCCCTTAGAAGCTTACATAGTATCCCCTAGAACTATGAGAGCTAGTTTTCAGGGAGGAGGCTTCCAGTTCAGTTTCAGGCTGTTGCTCTAAGTCCTGTGTCTGAAGTATGTCCTGTCTTCAGCAGTAGGGTCTTACCTTCAAGTTCTGGGAGGTAATCAAGGGTTCTGGCAATAGCTTGTGTTATTTTGGGAGTCTCTTGGATTACTCTGACCAACAGCTTGAAGGGAGGTTTCTCCTGTCTGGCACTGTGCTCCTTGTTATATAGCCTTCAGGTACACATATGCACTAATGTTCAGTTACTATATGTGTATTTTTCAGGGGGTTTTGGAGTTAATAAATTTCCCTCTGGCTTTTTATACCACCTAAGCTTTATTTATCTCTCCTCTCTTTCTCCCTGTCTAGCCTCCCTCTTCCCTCCCCCGAGTTACCTCTCTTATACAGGCTAGGCCCACCTGTCCAAGAATGGCAACACCCACAGTGAGCTAAGCCCTCCTACATCAATCAGCAATTAAGAAAATGCCTCACAGACATGGTCACAGACCAAGCTGATAGAAGAAATTCCTCAGTTGAGTGTCCCTCTTCCCAGGTAACTCTAGTTTGTGTCAAATTGACAAAAATCCTAACAAGCACAGCGTCCAAGGGCAGCTATGGGGCAGATGTCTCAAGAAGCAAAGGAGGTCTGATCCCATGGAGACCACTTTCCTCAGACCTCTACTGTAAGTAGGGAAACCAAGTCCAGGGAGGCCAAGTCACTGGTTCCAATCAGCACATTTCCATGTTAGAAACCCACATCTGACTTGGGCAAGAATATTGTTCCCTAGTATCCGATGTCCTAGTCAGGGACTCCCTGAAAGAGAGAGAGTTGAGAAGACAAAGTCAAGCTGAGCAAGTCTATGACTTGCTGGAGCCCTGTGCTCATCTGGGAGAGGGATGTTAGTGAGGGACATCTCTCTCCATTCTGTTTGGTTCCCCAACTTGGTCCACTCTAGCACTAAGCAAATGCAGGTGAAAAGGCACACATTTTCCCAGAATGTGCCAACTTAGGTAAAGCCCAAGCCAACACCTGTCTACTCCCCTTCCCCTTTCCCAGCCATGGAGTATGTGGGAAAACCCAGTCCCAGACCTTCGGAATGGGAAGCTTTCCCGCCCTGCTTCCTTAGAAGATTCCAGAAGACGGAACAAGCAAAGACTCAAAGGATCTATCCAGTAAGCACCCTGGACCCCAGTCTGTTTGGTAAGAAGCAGAGACCTGAGTGCAGGACCCGGTGAGCATTCTCTTTGCTGTGTCTGATGGAGAAGTGGATCTGTGATGCTGAGGGAAACTGGAGGAAGTGGGAGATGGGCCCTTCCTTGAGCAGCCATAACAAAGTAAGGGAGTCCTAAGTACATGGCAGCAGAGGGCAGAGGAGAGGAAACAAGAGAGGAACTGAGGAAAAGCTCTCCTGGCAGCTACTTCACCAGCATTTTGTTCTATTGTGGGCAAGCCCAGCATTTCCCGCCCCCGAAAAAAAAAAAAAAAAAAAAACTGCAGGGAAGATCCCGGCAAAGCCCTTGGAGGACAGGCAGAGCTACTCCTCTGTTCCCAGCAACTCTTCTAGAAAAAGCAAGAAAAGAAAGTGTGTGTGTGTGTGTGTGTGTGTGTGTGTGTATAGGGGAGGGAGAGAGGGAGAGGGAGAGGGTGAGGAAGAGGGAGAAGGAGAGAGAGAGAGCACTGATCCTGCCATGGTCCCCGAGAAAGACCTCACAAACACAGAGTGGTAGACTAGAGGATTCCTCCCTAACGAAGGGACCAGGAACCACTTTCCTAGGAAGTCTCAGAAGGCCCCTAAATTCTACCCAGGCAGGTGGGATGCTAAATCTCTGGGGAGGGGGCACAGGTTTCCTGATTTATTCAACAATAGGCCCTTGGAGTTCCCTTAGCAATGACTGCCTCCCAATTCAGCCTCATGCCTGGCTGGTCACTAATAATTTATTGCAAATAAGTCTCAGTGCTCCCATAAGGCAGTCAGCTTCTCCACCTCTGAATTCCCTACAGAGCTTGGCACAGCTGGGCACCCAGCTGGTCCTCATTAATCCCTTTCTGGATCTGAATCTTCTTCCCTTCCTTGCAGCCACCTCCACCCTGCACCCCAACAGAGGGAGGCCCAGGAGAATAGCGCTTCCCTAGGCCACTCATGTCCCCTTCCTTCCTAAGAGCTGGCCTAGCAGATGCTAACAAAGGATAATGGGAGTTTCAGATGGACTGGCAACCTGACAAAAAGCACCAGGAGTGTCTGTAGATGAGCAGACTCAGCACATTCTCTGCACGGGGTCTCTTCACACTTGTGGGGAAGATAGGCATTTGTAAGGTTTAAGTCAGACCTTGAATTCAGAGACAAGTACAAGTTACAAAGGTCCCTCTCAGGAGCCTTTCATGTGTGTTTGTGTGTGTATACTGTTCATGTATGTACACGGGTATGAAGGCCAGAAATCAACATCAGATGTTTTCCTCATTCTCCACCTTATATTTTTTAGGCAGTCTCTTACTGAATCTAGAACAGCTAGGCTACACTGGCTTGCCAGTAAGCCCTAGGACTCCTCCTATCTCTGCTGCCCCAGTACTGGGGTTATGGGCATGTGCTGCCACATTCAGCTTTTTATGCATGTGATTGAGATCAAACTTGGGTCCCCCATGTTTATATGACAAGTGCTTTACTGACTAAGCCATCTCCCCAACCCCTGGCAAGAGCCTTTATTTTACAGCACTGGAGAAATAGCTCAGAAGTTAAAAGTGCCTGCTGTTCTATCATGAGAAGCAGAATTCAGATCTCAGCACCCACATCAGGCAGCTCACAAATGTCTAACTCCAGCTTCAAAGAATGCAGTGTCTTCTTCGGGCTTCCCACCCCAACTCTCATGCACATATACTCACAGACACACTCATGCATAAATAACAATAATTCTAAATTTTTACATCTATTTGTGTATGTACATGTGCACATGTATATCGTATTAGAAAGTTAGAGGATAAAACTTTTGGAAGTCCTCTCCTTCCACCATGTAGGTTCCAGGCATCAAACTCAGGTCATCAGGCTTAGTAGCAAGTGCCCTTGCCTGCTGAGCCATCTGACTGGTCCAAAGGAGACTTGGAATTCTCTGGGTTCCCTGGGTTGCTTACCCATGCAAGGTAGGCACAGCAATGCATTGTTGTAAGCAGGTGACTTGCAGATGTTCTGCACCTTCCAGTTCTATAGTTCAGTACAATATTACATCCTGTCACTCATCCATCCGTGTGCGAGAGAAGGCCATGGACTGGAGATAAACAGACCCACAAGCCAAATCCTAACTCTCTAGTGCTTAGGAACGAGGCAGCTTCAATGGAGCCACAAAATCTTTCTGAACTAATTTTCTTGTCTGCAGAATGGGATCAATAATAATAATAACAATAATAATAATAATATCTTTACCATATAGATGTTGTGAGATCCCACGCACGAGTAGGTTTTATAAACTGCCAAGTACTGCTCATATATTACTGATTATTAGAAGACTATGAGGGCTATAACAATAATAATAACCATTTCCCTTTAAGCAAATGTTTGTGGCTGTCATAGGAAACATGAAAATGATCATAGCTTATGAACTTGCTTTCAACTCCTCCCAGCCCAAGAAGACCTCCTGCCCTTTCACTGCCTCCCAAGGGGAGGAGCCAGGCAGAAAATGCTGGGCTTGGGCTTGCATCTGGAGGTATTTTTGCCACCCACCAGAACCCCACACATACATACTTTGCATTGGCAATGTGACAGTTGACTCTCATCCACCTTTTCTGAAGGTAATGAAGTAAATTGAGGCCTTTGCATTTCAGTGTGCAGCATGGAAAGAGAGCAGACCCTCCAGGAAGAATAATCACTAGGACAACCCCTCAACAAATATGCTGATAAACTCACCAAGTTCTTGTTATTGCTCAATGCTAATTGCATTTCCTTGGGCAAGCACCATAAAAAATTCATTGCCATTTTTTGGAAACAAGATGGCCATTGCATTTTAATTGCTAGAGAGAGTAGAGAAGGGGCTTCACCACAAAAAAATGCTAACTGGGCATAAACTCAGGAAGAGATTTCTCCAAGACAAAAAGTTTAGCTTCAAAACAAGAGCTAAGGGGCTGGAGAACTGAACCTTGTAGGGCCTAGCCTTCCCTAGAAACACCAACTTAGGTGTTTTCAAACTGGAAGCCACAGGGTTTTTTCACTGTAGGGTCACAACAGATTTAAGCACATTAAAAAATTAAATAATTAGGCACCTGCCAAAATTCCAGAGTAGATGAATTGGAGTCAGCACCAAAGTTCAGAGGAACATGTATAGGAAGAAAATTCTATTTTTATCTAGCAACATGTAAGAGAGGGCATATAGTTAATAATCTTCATTGTCAACTACACTGGATTTGGAATCACCTAGGAGGTGCACCTCTAAGTGTATCTGTGAGGGAGTTTCTAGAGAGATGTCACTGAGAAGACCCACTCTGAAAGTGAGTGGCACCATCACAAGGGCTGAAGGTCCCAGGCTGAAGAAAAAGGAGACAGTAGGCTGAGAACCAGCAGTCATCTCTCTCTAATTCCTGACACCGCATAACCACCTACCTCACAAGCCTGCTGCAATGCTTTCCCCACTATGATGGACTGTACCCTTTAACTGAGAGCCAAAGAAGTTTCTTTGGTCAGGTAGTTTTTCACAGCAATGAGAAAAGTAGCCAATACAAAGAGAGGGGGGAAAAACTGGACCAAGATTATATACAAGTCCAATTTAATAACAGAACTCTCTCAACCAGTTCATAGAACTATCATTTTAAAAACAGAACCCCAGCTCAACTCCAACCTCCTTGTCTTACAGTCCCCTGCCTCATGCAGCACCCCACAAACAGGTCAGAATGGGACCAGTGGGACAGTGGGGAGGATCCTGACTCCCATGGGCTTCACCTGAGCTGGTCCAACTTTGACCTCATCTACCCAGGAACCCTTGAACTAGGGGGAAGCTTAGCCCTCCTGGGGGCCCAGGAGAAGGCAGAGATAGGGTAGGTACCTCGAATATCCTCCCACAACAGGAGGGGAAGAGGAGAAGGGAGAGGGGCAGACGCCCAGCTGCTTTCAGCAACCTCTTTAGACTCTCCCCTCTTCCCCCACTCCATCATTCCCAACTCAGCCTCAGCATCTCTTCTGTTGTGGAGTCTCTCGGATGAGTAAGAAAGACTAGAAATCAGAGCCTAAGGAGAAAGGCCCAGTGGTCCAGTTACTAGCCCATGGCTGGGGACCATCTTGCACGGGAGATCACAATTCTTCATCAGTGGCAGTGACTGCTCCTCCGGCTGCTAGTGGACCTGCCAGAGAGCCCAGGAGACATTAGGCTGGTGTGCAGTAATGCTAAAGGAAACAGCAGCACCTAGAGCAGGGAGTTACAGCATGCAAGCCCCTCACACCAGCCAATTTACTTTTTTTTTTTTTAGATGGACTCTCATGTAGCCCAGGTCAGCCTCAAACTCTAGCTAAACATGACCTTAAATTTCTGCAACTCCTGCCTCCATCTCCTGAGTGCTGAGATTGTGAGTATGCACCACCATGCCCAGTTTATGCAGTGCTGGGGATCAAACCCAGGACTAGAGGGCTAGGCAAACACTTTACCAACTGAGCTACACCCTCCAGGCTCAAGTGACTTAATATTAGCACATCACTGAACCATTTGGAAGCTGGACTTATGCTTCTATCAAATGGGCTTACAAATATCTGCTGCTCTAGGTTAGAGATGCATATAAGGGTAAGATTTGAAAATAGATGCATATACCCTGTAAGCTCTAAAGCACATTTTGTACCAATTGCTTTTGCACCTAGCCTCAAAGAAAGATGCTGTTCATTACCATGGCTTATGAGAGAGTTCTTAACTCAAGTATGATGCTTTTAAAAAACCTGTGTGTGTGTGTGTGTGTGTGTGCGTGTGTGCATGTTTCACTCAAGTATGATGCTTTTAAAAAACCTGTGTGTGTGTGTGTGTGTGTGTGTGTGCGTGTGTGCATGTTCGTGCAGTGAGTGTAGACATGCACGTGTGGAAGTCGGAGGACAAGTTCAGGTGTCATTCCTCACCTGTCTCTTGTTTGCTGCTGCATACACCAGGCTAACTGGTCCACTAGCTTCAGGATAGTCTCCTGTCTCTGCCTCCCATCTTGCCATGGACGCACAGATGTGTGCTACCCTGCCCATCTTTCTTGAGTTCTGGAGGTTAGAACTCAGGTCCTTATACTTGTGTGACAAGCACTTTACCAGCTGAGCCATCTTCCCAGTCAATGTTTTGGTATGTATTACCATACTCAGTCCTCCCTCTGAACAGATTCTGCCTAGAGTCGTGTAAGAATTTACTAAATGCTGAGCTCTCTACAGAGTAGGAAATGCAGACACTAGTAATTACTTTAGAGACCAGGGATGAATGATGCTGGGAAATGGTAACACACTGCAGCTTACTCACTCCAAGCCTAGCCAGGCTGTATATGGGTCTTACCTCCTTTAATCCTCACAGATGAGTACAGCACAGGCAGGATGGTTATGACCAGGAAACTCGGGCTTACCAAGGATAGGAACTCACAAAAGTTGCCCCAAAATGGCAGATATGGGCCACAAGCTCAGCTCCATCCTTTCCTAGCTACTGCTTACATTGCTAGCAATGCAGCGAATTCGATATAAAGTGTCCCTTCTTTCTCCTCCCACTCTAGAGAACATGCCTTTGTCCCATCTCCAGCCCTGAGCAGGACCCAGGCTTGGGGTGAGGTTCTCAGTGACAGGATAGGTCCTTTAAAAACTTGGGCCGCACCTCTGCTGTACACTTACCCGCATAGTGCTGTGGAGCCAGTCGAGGAACTCAGCTACCTTGGCATAGACACCTGGATGATTAGGCTCTGCGCAGCCACGACCCCAGCTGACCACGCCCACCAGGTGCCACGTGTCCCCATCTGGACACACTAAGGGACCCCCACTGTCTCCCTGAGGGGTCCAGGTATGAAAGCACAGAGAAATAAACAGCAATCAGACTTTCCTGATAAAGGAGCACCAGTCTGCCCTGGGGAATGGCCTCTCCTAGTCCCCTCCTGCCTCCTGCTCAGATACCTACTGGCCTCACCCTCCACAAGCCTTTAGCATGAGCTCCCCTCCCACAGAGGCTGTCTCCCTAACACCACCCACATGAGCAGACCAGGGGGCCAAGATGCAGCAGATCCCCTAAGCCCTCCCTTCACCACTGGCCACACCTGGCATGCATCAGCCCTCCCGTCCAGGTAGCCGGCACACAGCATACGGTGTGTAAGGGACCCTCCATACATGCACGAGCTATTGCACAGCTGGGTACTGAGTAGGGGCACCACCGTATCCTGCAGCGTGTCCGAGCTGTGAGCTGTGGAAGATACAGAGAAAGGCTGCAGAGGTCCAAGCCAGGCCAAGAAGGCAAAACAGTAAGAGTAAGAGGAGTCAGAGATTTCCAAGGATACAGAGACCCAAAGAGGGGAGCCTGGGCAGAGCTATGGACCTGGGCCAGGAGACAGGGCTCTGACAGGTGTAGGGCTGAGAATGAGGAAAGGAGGAAGACCCATAAATACACAAAATACTGAGGTCAGGGACCAGGAAGAACATGAAAGAGCCTGGACTTAGGGAAAATGTTCAGTGGTTGTTCTCCTCAGAAATAGCCTGGCAGGGGAGACTGGGTACCCAGAACTCACCAAGGGTGATGCCAGGGTGAAAAAGGGCTGGCATTGCCATGTGACCAGGGGAAGGGGGTGCCTTACCTTGGAGAAGGATGCCTCCTCCCACCCCCTTTGCTCTGAGGGCCCTGGGAGCTGACTCACTATGGCTGGGATCGGTGTGGCCCCAGCCAGACACCCAGCACTGCAAGCCCATTGGAAAGTGCTGCTCCTTGGCCGGCAGGCACACGGCACCCACAGTGTCTGTGGAAAGGCATGTAGTTCTGGGACCTGCTCAGGCTCTGCTTCTCTCCTGCAGAGCCTGGTTCAAGACCCTCCTCACTCCCTTCTCGACAGTCCTGTGGGCTGGCCTCCACCATCAGGCCTCCTAGACAGCTGGACAGGCTGAGTAATGTCCCACCTTAGGAGTAAGGGTCTGGGAGGACAGTGAGCAAACTGCCGTGGGTAGGGCGCCCCCTAGAGGTGGGCAGTGTTCTTGCTGCCCATCCCCACCCTGGGGACTGAAGAGAAAATGGAACTCTTCTGGCTCTGGGGACTCAACTTCGAACAAGACCCATTTGTCCTTTTCCCCTGAATGTATGACCTTTCTTGGGACAGTTTTCCAGAAGTGTGTGGCCCATTCTATGAGTGGAACCAAACATGATTTTAGGTAGTATGTTGACGTTCTATGACATAAACACTGATTCACTCTAGGAGCACTATTTCCTCTTCAGATTTCTTTCAGTCCCTCTAAGTGCATCAAGAAGATGGACTCTATGTGGTGCTGTCCTGTGCCTATCGTGATGCTGATAATCTCACCTCTGACCAGGAGAAAGCAGGCCCAGGGCTCAGTGATTTCTACAAAGGACTCTTGCAACCTAGAACTTAAACACTGATTTGTTTCCAAACCATAGAGTTTCCTACCTACTTACAACAATAGCATAAGTTCTCCAGTCAGGTAGTTTCACCTTTTAACTATCCTTAATTGTGCTGGTTTCCTTTTGTCAACTTGACACAAACTAGAGACACCTGGGAGGAGGGAACGTCAATTGAGGAATTTCCTCCAACAGATTGGCCTATGAGCATGTCTGTGAGGTGTTTTCTTAATTGTTGAGAAATGGGCCTAGCCCATTGTGGGCGGTGCCATCCCTGGGCAGGTGGTCCTGGGTTGTATAAGAAAGCAGACTGCACACAGAGCAGAGGAGCAAGCCAGTAAGCTGTGTTCTTCCATGGTCTGTGCTTCAGTTCCTGCCTCCAGGTACCTGCCCTGAGTCCCTGCCCTGGCTTGCTTTAATGCTAGATTGTGAGCTATAAGCCAAAATAAACCCTTTCCTCCCCCAGTTGGTTTGGTCAGCATTTTATCACAGCAACAGAAAAAGTAACTAAAACATTAAGTCGATGTAGACGTGTTAACTGTCCAGCAGTGGTTCACTGATGTGATAAGATTTTCGAGATACGTACAGCAGTGCTGTTTGAGAAACCCAGCACTGCAGATGTTGATGGGAGGAATGCTGAGTGTATGAGTGTGTGAGCCTAAGTGTGCATGGGCTTGGGGGTGTACACATGTGTGATGTGAGCATGTTTGTGTATGAGAGTATCTGTGTGAGCATACATGTGTATGAGTGTAAATATAAGAGTGTGTCCATATGTGAAATCTCCAGCTGCTGCACATGTGCCTGTCTATGGATGTGTGTTTGCTGGAGAAGGTACAAGTGGATGCAGGGAGGGCAGTTGCTGGACAGCTGCATGCAGGGCCACCCTTGTGGGGCAGGTACTGTGGCAGGAGGAGCCTGGCCCTGGAGTCAGGCATCAGGCTGGGGTCCTATTTGCCATGACTTTGAAGGCTCCTTCTCTAAACACCAGGGGTCTTGTTTGTATAAACTTCCTTCATCTCCCATCACACTTGTTACAAGGACTGAGAAAAAGGATATATGGGTAAATTTTAAAAATCCCTTTAAATGCTACATGTCACAAAGTGGCTGGACCTGAGCCCTGCCTTGGGACAGGAGTGGAGCAGCCTATTGAGACAGAAGCCATGAGTGAAACTCTGCTTGGGACTCTGGACTAAATCCCATCTGTAGTCCCACTATAACAAGGGACTGATTCTTTTTCTGCTGTAAGAGTTCTTGCAATTTGAGGTCCAGGGGAATGTAAATACTCCATGGTCCCTAGTGAACTGAAGTGTTTAAGATTTACAGATCCACAGACAGCTTTAGGAAGCAGTGCACCTCTCCTCCCACCAGTCCCTGCTCCTCATCACCACTGCACCCAGCCTGCTCTTTCCAAGATCTCACCTGAGAAGTTGAGTGGTGTCCGGAGCCGCAGGAGGGCAACATCATAGTCGTGGTTCTGAGCGCTGTACAAGGGGTGGGGGATGATCTTCTCCACCATAGTCCCCTGGTGTGGTCGGATAGCTCTGTGGCTCACCACCCCTGCATGAACCCGCCAGCTAGACAGACGGGACAGCCTGAAACTGCACATCAGAACTCACTGAGCTCAGGGAGGAAGGGGCAGAGAAGGTTGATGTCAGAAAGGTGGTGAGTGGAGGAAGCTGGCTAGGGAAACCATTAGCACACCCCTGTCACAAGCCTGTGAGCTCCTGGGACCTAAAGACCATGACTCTTAGTATTCTCCTCAGCAGCTGTCAAGACACTGAGCATGTAGTAAGTGCTCAGACACTGGGCTGGGAGATGGTTCAGTAAGTAAAGTGCTTGCTATGCAAGCATGAGGATCTGGGTTCAGATCCCCAGAAAAGCCAGATGGGCAGGAAAGCACACTCAGCACAAAAGGTGGAGACTGGGACTCCGCAGAGCAAGCTGGCTAGCCAGACTAGCCTATGCGCACACTCTGGGCTCAGGGAGAGACCCTGCCTCAATATATAAGTAGACAGCGATTGAAGAACATACTATGTCACTCATTGTCAACGTGGGGCAGCCACATGCACACACATGTGTGCCCACATATATTCAAACATTTATACCCATACACATAGATGCCACAAACATACACATTCTTTAAAAATAGAATGAAACCAGGCGTGGTGGCACATGCCTTTAATCCCAGCACTTGGGAGGCAGAGGCAGGCAGATCTGTGAGTTTGAGGCCAGCCTGGTCTACATAGTGAGTTCCAGGACAGCTGGGGCTACAGGGAGACCCTGTCTCAAAAAGACCAAAAAAAAAATAGAATTAATATAAAGAACCAATCTCTGTATTATTATGCTATGCATGCACTAAATAGAGACATCACCCTTGCTCACTTGGAGACAGACAGTTAGACGTGGATATTTTACTCAGGATATATCAAAAACCAAACAGGAAAGGTGGCTAAGACTCTCACCTCCTCAGCCACCTCAGAGACTTACGTGTACATGCAGTGGGCAGCAGTCACCACCCAGTGGGGTGCCAGCACAGAACCACCACATGTGTGCCGGGAGCCAAGCATCACACTAGCCTGCCATGGCCAGTGCCCAGGAGCCACAGCCTGCCCGCCAACTATTCGAGAAGCCAGGGGCCTTGCCCCACATTCTGCCAACAGAGAAGGGCGGGGCAGAAAGAGAGAGTACAGAGAGCCAGTGTGGACAGCTCTCATTTATTATTCCTGGGCCTAGGTAGGGGATACAGGAAGATGGGTGTATTGATTACCTTAGCCTATACAATTACTGAGAGTATGGATCAGGTCTGTGGGATCTATACCTACTCCACAGTACAGGTCAAAGCCCAGGGTGTGATGGATATGAGGAAGGACTGATGAACAAGTGGACAGATGTATAGGAAAATTGGTAAAAGAATCCCATAGAGTGTTTCCCATTTGGCCTCAGTCTACCACCCTTTGTCTCTCCACACTGCTGATAGAGCCTGCATATTCACAGTCAGTAATAATTCCACCTTTGGGGCTCTCCAGAAGGAAGGGGCAGGAAACAATCGTGGTAAAGTGGGAAGACCACCAGCCCAGCACAGTGGCGGGTAGGGGACACAACACAGACTTAAAATAACTCTGTTTGGACAGTCTCTGCAAGGAACCCAACAGAGTGATGGGCAGGTGGGCAAGGACACCCCCACCCAACTCACATGCATACACAGAGACCTGAGAGAGTCCCTCCATAGAGCTCTTGTACATTCGGACAACAGGGAGACTCCTTCCTCCCCCCTCCACCTTCCTGGGTCCAAGACATGACTCACCAGAGCACTTGAGGGAAACAATTCGACCGGAAGTACAGTTAGCTCTGCAAAACAGGGCATTCCCAGGAAGCTGGGCAATGCCACCCAAAGAGCATGCACACCCAAGGGTATGGAGTATAGTGAGGGGATTCACCACATTTCTGTTTGTTTTGGTTTTTGAGACCAGGCTAGCCCCATGCTCACTCTGTAGCTGAGATGACATTGTACTCCTGATTCTCCTGCCACCACCTCCCAAATGCTAGAATTGCAGATATGCACCTCACCCAGCCTATTTCTATAGTTAAGGCCACAGCCTTAAGATGACAGCATTTTCTTCCTACCCCTCCCAAATATCCAAACCAGACCCCAGGACAGGCCTGCCTGTTCTACCCCAGCAACCAGAGGGCAACAGAAAGCCTTCATGATTCTGGAAGATCAATTTGAACAAGGCCCAAATTGACAACAGAGAATGTATAGATAAGAAAGCCTGGCTGTTTCCACTAAGTTCCTGAAATAAGCAGGTGTCCAGGGGGCAAATGAATGGCCACTGAGTGGAAGCATGAATAGAGCCCTTCACCCAGGCTTCTTCTCAGGCCCAGGCTCTTCTCTGTCCCAAGCCCTTTGTCCAGGGCCTACACATTCATCCCCTTGTTCTCCTCTTCCTGTCTGTCCCTTAGCATCTGCCTCAATTTCCTTTTGGCCAAAACATTTTTGTTTTCCCTTTCTCGTCTCTTCCCTCCAGCAGCCTAATGCCTGGGTCTACTTGGTTTTCATATTCCTAACTCTGAAGCCCCTTCACCCTCTGGAAGACTTAGGAATCTCAGAACTTTCTCGTCTCTTCCCTCCAGCAGCCTAATGCCTGGGTCTACTTGGTTTTTATATTCCTAACTCTGAAGCCCCTTCACCTCTGGAAGACTTAGGAATCTCAGAAGTCGTCTGGCCAGGTCGTCCCTAACTCCAGTGCATTCCTAAGAATGGAGCTGGGGCTTGAGAGAATGGTTCAGGTAAGCAAGTGGGCTGAGATGGCCTCAGAGCCCTGACAGGGCACCCTCCCACCTCCAGCTTAGGAGGTTTCAGGCAGCTTTGAGAACCCAGGCAGGGCAAAGGCCTCTCAGCTTGGGCCCCACTCACTCTGCCCCACCCAGAGTTGGGTGAGAAGCCTGCTCCATTTTGAGCCCTCTTCATTTTGGACACTCACAAGGCCTCTACCAGCTCCTAGCCAGGGCAACTCTCCTGAGATAGCAGAGTTATCCAAGTAAAATATGGTTGGCCATGCTGAGAGCTCCCTCAGCTTGGAGAGAGGAGCCTGATCCCAGTGTGGCTTGGCAGCTCATTCACTGGTCCCATGGCCTTGGATAAGACTGTCTACTGCACTGACCCTCAGTTTCCCCAAATGTAGAAGGGTATTATGGTTTGAATATGAAATGTCCCCCCACAAACTCTGGGCTGAGCACTTGGTCCCAAATGATGGCAGCTCTGCAAACTTTAAGGAAGAACCTAACTAGAAGAAGTTGGTCACTGGAGGTATGTTCTGGAGGGCTGTATCTTGTCCTAAAACTACCCCCACCCTCTTCCTATCCACACAAGGTGAACAGCATCCTCCTTTATACAATCCTACCATGGTGATGTTCTGTCTAAGCTCATGGGGCCAAGAACCATGGACTCAGTCCTCTGAAACTGTGAAAAAAAATGATGTTCCCTTCCTTTCATTTTTCTCATGTGGTTTTGGTCATAGCAACATAAAGATGGTGCAAAGGGAATTAGAAGATCATTCCTGATCCTCTTAGAATGACAAAGAATCTTGCTTTTCTTCATGAGGCAGGTCTCAGGTAGCTCAGGCTGGCCTCAAACTCTCTATGTAGTTGAGGATAGCCTTGCTGATCCTCCTGCCTTTACCTCCTGAGTAATAGGAATATAGGCATGAAACCATACACTGTTTATACAGTAGTGGGAACTGAACCCAGCCAGGGTTTTGTGCATGCTGGGCAAGCACTCTACATCTGAGCTACATCCCTGGACCATAGCCTTTCATTTCCTGTGTACCTAGGTTTGTGGTTTATGACTGGGAAGTTGTCTTCTCTGATCTTGCTGCACAGTCTATGCCCCCACCACCAGACTTCCTGGAAAGAAGATCTTTCTGGACTGCCCACACACTTACCTAACCCACAAAAACCCTACCTGGGCTGCCACACCTCCTCTAGGAGGTCTTCCAGTTTAGCAGAGAGCTGAGCAAACTCCTGGGATCCATTGAGCTTGATGTCAGACACATTCACTGCCTTGTGCTGAGTGAGTCTTAGCAGAAGAGACAATAACAGGAGGAAGCAAGGCCAGTTAGTCAGAAATGAGATGTGCAGGAGACATACAGCCATCATCTTGACTGCACAATACCATGAAAATGACTTCTGAGACTGATACTCCCATCCCTAGTCCCTCCCACCACCTACCAGTTCTGGCTGTTACCTGAGGTGCCCAAGACTCTGGCAGATGTGCTCCCCCAGGGCAGAGTTCCAGCCCTCATGACAGACCAGGAGCCAGTCTGGCCTAGCCCTTCGTTGTACTTCAAGCAAGAGGTCCTTGCCATTTATTCTGAAAGACACTGAAACTACTGTGTGAAAATCATCTCCCTCCTGCTGCAGGGACAGGGATGAGACAAGGGGAGCTAGACATATGGGTCACCCCAGGTCAGCCTTCCTGCCCCCCTGAGTGTCTAGCTGGTTCTAAAGTGGAGTCTTCAGTTTTGTGTTTTGACCTGTGCTTTAAAAAGTCATCTAGGGCCAGTGAGATGGCTCAGTGGGAAAATGTACTTGCCAACAAGCCTAGCAACCTGGGGTTGATCACCAGAACCTGCATAATAGGAGAGAACCAACTCTTGCAAATTGTCCTCTGACCTCCACAAGTGTGTATGCATGCTCACACAGACAGACACACAAATGATTTTTTAAGTGTTCTATCACATTTGTCATCACAGTAGACCTGCACAGAGGCAGCTGCCATCCTCCTTTGCAGAGGGAACACCAAGGCACAGAGGTGAAGTAACCTGCCCCAGATCACAGAGTCAGCAAGGGATGGATCCAGGACTTAAGACTACATGTCCTAAATTCAGAGCTTGTAACAATAACAGAGTTATCAACTGATTTTTCCAAGCTATTGGAATTCTCTCTCTCTCTCTCCCTCTCCCATATTAAAACTCTAGTACTCCAATCCCCCATTGTGACCTTGTTTGGAGGTAGAGCCTTAAAGAAGGTGATTAAGAAAAGTGGGACTGAAGAGATGGCTCAACAGTGAAGCACTTGCTCTCTCGCAGAATCCAGGTTCAGTTTTCAGCACCCACATGACAGCTCACAACCATCTGTAATTCCAGCTTCAGGGGATCTGAGCCCTTCTTCTGGCCTTCATAGGTGCCAGGCACACATGCATACATGTAGGTAAACACTCATACACATAAAATATAAATCAATAACACTTGCTCTTGCTGTATTGGTTGAGTATACCTTTCCACCATCCCCTCCCACTAACCACCACTTTGAGGTGTACATGAAACCAATTCAATTCTATTTCACCTTGTCACAGCTAGCTGTCTTTCTCATAAGAAAAAAAAATGCAAGCTATTTTTCTAAAATGTGTCCTATGGTGATTAAATAGATTATTTGAATATTTAAACTAAACTATGGGTTTGTTTGGCATGTAATGCCTCTGCCTCTGACTGTATGCTCATTCATAATCCTTTCTTATCAAAAGGGTTCTCTTTAGACTGTAATACATATGTTAAATTGAAAAATAATAATAAATAAATGAGAATAAAATAGAATAATAATATATATATAAATCAATAAATCTTTATGGGGGATTAAATAAAAGGCCTTGTTCTGCAGCTCATTTAGTAGAGTGCTTGCCTAGCCTACACATAGTCCTGGGTTCAATCCCGAGTGCTGCATAAACTGGGTGTTGGTGTGCCTATGATCCTGGCACTCTGCTGATGGAAGCAAGATTTCAAGGCCATCCTTTGCTACACAGTGAGTTAGAGGCCAGCCTGGGTACATTGGCCCCTTATCAAAAATAAAATGGATTAAAAGAGATCATGGGGACGCTGAACCCGTGAGGCCAATGCCCTCATAAAAAAGGACAAGACACCGGTGAAAAGCCTGGGAGGACACCATGGGAAGGGAGCCAGAAAGAGAACCCTCACCAGCAACTGACCTACCAACTCCTTTTAAGTACATTCCAGAGTCAAGACCGAGAAAACAGTCTGTGAGCTAAGTCACCCGATCTGTGGGATTTTTTGGTAATCGAAACTAACACACAGGCTCTGAACTAAATTTTTTAATATATGTTCATGCTTTATTCTTACAAACTTATCCAGTAAATATTTTTATTTCCATTTATATAGAAAGAAATGGAAGCTCAAAAAATAATGTAACCAATGTTGTAGCAAAAAGTACCAAACTCCTACTTTGTCCTAACATCTATAACTTTTTCTAACCTCCAGCCTCTGGGCAACACTGTACTGTCTAATCTCCAACTCTTGCCTAAAAGAGAGAGGGCAGGGGGTTGGGCCAGGAGACAACATAGGACGATGCCCTCAGATGCCTTGGTTGTCACACACTACACACACGTACACACACATCAAAAAGACCGTATACACACACACACACACACACACACACACACTCGCTTAGCTTCTTTTCCCCCATATTGCTGGTGCATGCTGCTCCAAATGACACGCTTCCAACCCTGCTGCTCACCTAGGCACCAGCCAGAGACCAGGATAGTCCCCAGGGAAATCTCCAAGACCCAAATCAGAGGTCAGTGCTGCTAGTTGAACCTTGTTACCGCCCTCACCCCAGTGGAGGAAAAGACAGATGGGGGGCAACACACTGCTGACCCTTCATTTAGGTTCTGGAGCTGTAAAGGGGCCTGAGCTGGGTCAGAGGCTGGTTCCTGTAGCTTTGGCAGTGTGGCCCACCTGTTTTGGGAAGTGGTGGGAGCAGTGCTTCCTCACTGTTGGTCCCTGGGCAGCTTGGAGTTGTCTCCTCCTGCAAGGTCCCAGCGATTGGCAAGGAGGTAGCTGGCCACAGATAGAGCACTTCAGAGAAACACAGAGAGGGTCACAGTCACTGGGGAGGGGAAGGAAAACCCCTGGAGGGGCTCCAGGTGCACAGCAAGACAGCCTGCATCAGAGGTAGGCCACCTTGCCTATAGACAGACCCCAACCCATCTACCAGGAGGGGTACACCACTGTCTCTATCTCTGTCAGACTACTCTGTGTTTCTCTTTGTCTTTCTATGTCTTTGTCTATGTCTCACTGAGAAAGATTTCTAGAAAAAAAATCAAACTAGAACCACTCTGGACTATCCAGTTAAGTAGCAGATCTATAAGACCAAACCATTCCCTGCATAAAGCCTAAATCCTTCCTCCTGCATGAACCCCCCCCGTACCCCTTGCTGTCTACACAGCATAGATGAGGGAGGGACTTGTCCATCTACCTGTAATGCCTACTCAGCATCTACTGCTGTCTGCCAGCTTCCCCCAGATCCTACCCTTCACCCCTCTTCGGACAGAAGAGCCCAGTACCTACCTAGCAGCCATGAGCCAACACCTGCTCCAGCCAGCAGCCCCAGGGCTCCCAGTACTGCACAGCCACGTCGCAGGCAGCACCAGCATCCAGCCCAAGAAACTGTGGAGGAGGCAAAGCACTTTCTGGGTTCCCTGTTCCTTCCAGTAAGCCTTACTCAATACCAAAACACCAGTAAACTCCAAAAAGGAGCCTTCCTCTGCTCCTGGGGCATAAACTAGGTAGGGGCAGGGCTCTGATCCCTGAAGCCCAGAGTCTACTACCAAGTAGACAATAGAGCAAGTGGGTGGTAAGGAGTGAGATGTCCCTCACTGCCCTAGTTTGTTTCTCCATTGCTGTGATAAAACACAATGACCAATACCAACTTGGGGAGGAAAGGGTTTATTCAGCTTACATCTCCCAGGTCACAATTCATCAGGGAGTCCAAGGTAGGAACTCAGGACAAGAACCTGGAGCACAGGCCATGGAGGAACACTGCTTACTGGCTTGCTCCCTTGGGCCCTGCTCAGCCTGCTTTCTTATCCAACACAGCCCCACCCGCCCCGGGGGGGGACCACCCACAGTGGGCTGGGCTCTCCCACATCACTCATCAATCAAGAAGATGCCCCACAGACATGGCCACAGGCCAATCCTATAGAGGTAATTCCCCAACTGAGGCTCCCTCAACCCAGGTGTGTCAAGTTGACGCTAAAGCTATCCAGCACACTCACCTTCAATCACATTGACCTAAGGAGAGTATGGGAAATATAGGAAGACTACCCTTTGGTGACTCTATTCTGTCCCTCCCCAATGGCCCAGTGTTACCTACTGGGTTGCTGCTGGTCTTCCAGATCTGTTCTGAAGATCCTAGGTCCTGGGTCCTCCTCTGAGCACTGAACCTCCATAGGGTCTTGGTCATTCAGCGTTGGGCTCTGGAGAAAGAGTTGTCAGATATCTAACATCTGCACACGGAGTGTTGCTAAGAAAAGATCCAGCCCTCGCCAAATCCCATCTCTCAAACCTGCCCCCACTGCTATCTACAAGTCTCTATTCACCTAGGAGCCAGCCCTCCAGACTCTGTCTGCTCTCCCGGAGCTCCCAACCCCACCCACCTCACTCTCACAGGGCAACAGTAGCAGAGTGAAGGCTAAAATCAGACTCCACCCACCCCAGAGCCAGGTCCTTCATTAACCATTCCCTCTTCCTGACTTCCATGAGCATCAAGGGCACCTGCTGAACACCCCACCCTTGACACACACAGACACAGACACAGACACAGATGCACATACTCACATACACACCCTATTCATTCCCAAGCTCATTGAGACCACTGTGGGGGGATACTAAAGGGAGTTCAAGAAAAATTACCATGGACCACCCTCCCACTGCTTTAAGGAATTTTCAGTCTAGCCCCAAAGAGTAGCCATAGTAATGACGTTGTTCCTGGTAAGTGACCCCAGAAGAGTTCAACTACAGCACTACCCACCACCAGCATCCAAAAGAACAAGAAGTGATTTCTCACCAACGAGATTAAGGAAAGCTTCCTAGAGCGGGGAGCTTCTAAGACAGAATCCTCTTGGGTGGGTAGGGCCTGGGCTGATATATTTCTGTCAATCAACATGTGGTGCAGGCAGCAGATTGATGCAGCAAAGACACAGTGGCAAGAAAGCAGAGGGCAGAATAGCTTACATGTGTTTCTGAAGTTCTAGATCCATGATGAATGAGGCATAAGATGTTGAAAAGCACTGGACAGTTCAAAGCCAGGTCTACCACCTGCCATATGAACTTGGACAACTCAGGCCACCTCTCCTACCTTCAATTTTCTCATTCCTTTTTTTTCATTTTTTATTTTTGCTTTATTTTTGTGTGTATGCATACATATATGCAAGTGTGCCTGTGTCGTGCAATGCCCATGGAGGACAGAAGAAGGTGTTGGATTCCCTGAAACTGGAGTTACAGATGGTTGTTAGCCACCATGTGGGTGCTGGGATTCAAACCCAGGTCTTCTGCAAAAACAGCCAGGGCTCTTAACTGCTGAGCCATCTCTCTAGCCCCAATTTTCTCATTTTTAAAATAAAAGTGATAACTCCTTCTTGATGAGTAACCACCTCCTCTAGGGCCCTAGCTATGACTGGTGTTGGGATGGGTAGACCAACCCACAGGAAGGGGTTAGGCTGCTACCCTATCCATTATTCCCCATGCTACAAAGCCAGAGTAATCTTTCTAAGACGCAGTTGAGCATGGGGTCCCACCTATAAAGCACGCAGTGAATCTTTGCAGCCTCAGGACCAAATCAAGGCTCCATGACACTGCTCTCAGGCCTTTGTGATCGTAACTCTTCCTCATCTCTCCATCCTCACTGCCAGCACCAACTCCCTCCACAGCATTGTGTCATTCCCCAGCACCTTTAGGCAGGCTCATACTGCAGAGAGTCTGCATCTGTTGTTCCATTCCCACGTAGCTGACTCCTACCAACCCTTCACTGCAGAGATCACCTCTCCAGGGAGCTTTCCTCAACTGAACAGAACTCATTGGAGCCCAAGATGGCTCTCACTTCCTTCTTTTTCTTTCCTCATTGGCTTAAGTATGGTAGGGCGTAAAAGGGCAATACAGGTAAAGTGCATGGACTAAAAGAGGGAGAGGAAGGAAGGAGGAAAAATGAGGGGAGGGAGGGAATAAGGAGGGAAGAAGGAAGGGTACCAGAACTTTTCCTCTAGCCTCTACACATATTTGTACACTTGTACACACACATGTGAACACACATACGTACATGCACACACACACACACAATTGGAGTGACTCATATTTTCCCTGAAGATCACTTTTCCCTTTCAACATAATGAATAGTCCACAAAGAGCAAAAGACTGAGACTTTGGAGACTCTGGCTCCAAAACCACATTGTCTTAGATGTGATGTTCATGTGTTCCATAGAAATCTCCCCAGTCCTGCCTTTGTGCTCCACTGAACTGGCTTTCCTCATCTTCCAGCTAGGGTAAGGAAGGCCTCTGTCAGCTCACCCAGGCCAGCCCCCTCTAAACCATCCACAAGTGTCTTCACTGACCCATAAGCACACATGCCAGTTCAGTTAGCACACAGGGTAGCAGCTCAACTCCTTCCTGCAGAGTGAGAGTGCCTACTTGCCTCACACACACCAGCCACAGCTGGTGGGATTTGGCCTCCCACCAGAAGCAGGCCTTAGTTCTCCCAAAGAAGCACAGTTCACTGTTTGTGTCCTAACACATGTACTCCTGTGCCTAGAGGTAAGACCCAGGGATAGCAGGCTTGGGAAAGCCAGTTGCAAACATAGAGATGTAGCCACCGATATATGAGGCTTGGGTTTCTTTTCTGGAGATACGGTTTCTCTTAAGCTGATATTCCTCTAAGCAGAGAGCCAGGGCCTATTCTAACAAGAATTCCAAGACACGCTCAGTATATCTTTGTGCAAAGTACTTCACCAGCCCTGGAACAAGAGAGGGGAATAAAAGTTTCTGGGAGGATGCTGACGCCACTGCCCCTGCTAGGATGTGGTCCCTGCACCAGAGCTGACAGAGGAGCTTTCCACTAGCCTAGCATCCCAAGGGTGGGAAGGGATGAGCAAGGATGCAGGAATGGTGCAGAGGCATAGCCTTACCATGCAAGCCAGTGACTCTGACGTAAGCCTTCAGGGTCTGCTGGGCAGGGCACTGCTCTGGTCCTTCTGTCAAGATTGATTTAACAGCCCCGAGCCAGCTTAGCTGCAGGATAAAGTATCCCTGGTTCACACATGGCCCCTCCCTTTGTCCCCCCTACACATACACTCACACACACAGACATGCACCAGAGAGACAATGAATTCTGCTTAGGTCCTATGAATAGGTCCCTTGTTGTAGGGAAGGGAGCCAAGGGCTGGGTTGGGCCTGGCAATCCCAGCCCCTTCTGTCTGTTAACTAGAAGCTCAAAAACAGTAAAAAGGCTATGGGGAGAAGGGAAGGCAAACTACAGTTGCTTAGCAACCAGGTCCCCTGTGCCAAAAAGTGTGTCTCATGCATGCTAGCACAATCCCCCCTTCTTGCTGCTTAGGACTGCATTGGAGAGTCTGGTATTAGCATTGCTGAAATGTTTCTGAGCTCTGTGGAGTACATCTCCACTCTGTGAGCTGGCTGGCTCTTCCTGCAGCCTGGGGCTGATACCATGTTGGAATTGTTGGGGTGATGATGAAGGATCTTTGTTACCCCCCTCCCTATGGTTGTACCTCTCACCTGATTGCTAAAATGTGGGGCCCTGTTCACCCTGGGATCCAGTTGCTACCAGAGCCCTCAGTGCTATCTTGTTTCAAAGATCAAGGTGACCAGCTCAGCACAGGCTGGGCTGAGCATGCTTGGAAGCCACAACTCTTTAGACAAGGAGCAGAACACTGCCTGCTGAGAACAGTGTTCTTCCAATTCACCTCTCACGGGTCCGTCGATGCATCAGTTCAAAGAGAACTGGCTTTAGACTCAGGCCTTTCCCTAACTACAGTTCTCTTATTTCCTCTAATCAGCTACCCTGTGAAAGGAAAATAAAGTTATCTACCTCACAGGGATGAGGTTAGAACTAAATGAAGTGCTGAATTTAAGGCTTTTTTCCAGGGCTAGAGAGATGGCTCAGTGGTAAACTGCCCAGGGTTCAAACCAGCGAACCCCGGCGAGGTGAGGATGGGGGATGAGTAAGCACACCGTTCGCCAGCCCACGGCGCCCCCATTACCCAGGGACACTCAGACGCAACGGGGAGTCTTAGTCAGGCAGAGATTCATTTATTGCAAGTGTTACAAAGCTTATAAAGACACCTGGAAATCCCCCCTCCCCCCTGAGGGTGTATCTTAAGGATGGTCACGCGCTGACCATGCACTCCTCAGCAGTGCGGAAGTATTCTTCAGACTTTCAAAGCAAGTCAGGCCGTGCCCCAGTATCTTCCTTTCGGACCTATGCAAGGTGGGGCCTTTAGGTCCCCACAGTAAAGAGCATGAACTGCTCTTACAGAGGACTGGAATTCGATTCCCAGCACCTACGCTGGGTGGCTCGCAACCGTTTCTAACTCCAACTCCAGGGAATCCGATGCTCTACAGGCACCCACACTCACATACAGAGACATATGCACATAATTAAAAATAATAAGAAATATCCCAGCTCTCAGGCCTACGCAGGTTGTGCAGCTCTGTTTGTGCCCTACAGCTGCAGTTCCCCAACCTTAATAGTGCGTCTCTCAGCTCTCACCAGAGAACGCTCTTCCTACAGCAGATGGCGATTAACACAGAGACCCACACCTGGCCCATGTGCAGAGAACAGGAGACTGAAGAGTGCTCAGCCTCAAATAGGGATCATTGCAGCAGATACAGAAGAAAGAATGTAAGAGCCAGAGGCGGTAGATGAATAAAAAGAAGCTGTGTTGTCTGGATACCACAGGGTAGTTGTATGTATGAACCCACAGTGCTTATTACAGCATACACAAGACCTGTGCAATTCAAACCAGACAGCAGCCCGGTATGGATGGGGGAGATGGGCAGGAAGCCCCAGCCCTAGCTGAGGATCCATTGGCAACTGATAGATGCTGGGAAAGGGAGAGTCCATTTTCCTTATTGGTGTGATGCCAGGTAGGTTGACCAGACTCCAAGAGATAGCCCCGCACCCAAAAGCAGTTGGGAAATACAGATTAGATTCAAAAGGCCTTTTAAAAGTATATATATATATATATATATTCATGAGGGGGAAGATGGGAATGGAGAGGGAGGAGTCTGACTTTAATAAAGATGCATTGTGTGATGGGGCTGAAGAGACAGTTCAGAAGTTAAGAGTACTGGTTGCTCTTGCAAAGGACCCAGGTTCAGTTTCCAGCACCCACATGGTGGCTAATAACCATTTGTACTTTCAACTCCAGAGGATCTAACTCCCTCTTCTGACTTACATGGGCATTGGGAGCATGGGTGCACTTATATACATAGAGGTAAAACACTCATACACATAGAATAAAAATAAGTAAAAAATTTAAAAATACATTTTAATAGATTGTATTAAATTCTCAAATGTATAAAAACAATAAATAATAATAAAAATTTTAAAAGCTCCTTTCCTGGTTTCTAGCGTAGAAATTGTTGCCAGAAAACTGGAGGGAGGAGTCCATGGGGGAGATAACCTAAAGTTAGGGACACCTCCCCTAGAGCACCTTCCCAAAGAACCAAATGGAGGCCAGAAGGAAGGTTCCAGGAGTTAACGAAACCAGAGTTCAAGGAAAGAACAGTACATATGCCTTTCAAGGAAGGGCAAGGCTGGCAGACTCAAAAAGAACAAAAAATTGGTAGTCCAATGAGGCTTTCAACAAGGCACACGTGAAAGCTGTGTTCTGTCCAGACTGATGTGAGCCTTGGCCACAAAAACTGCACTCTACTTCTTGGGCCAACAAAGGGAGAAACACTCAGCTGTATTTGATTGCTGTTGGCTTTAATTTTGCTGTCAGTTAAAGGCTGTTTCACAGGGCTCAGCACTCAGGATTGGTATCAGAGATAAGAGATAGTTATTTCTTCTTGAAAATTTATTTATTATTTTTATTTTATGTGTATGCATGTATTGCCTGCATGTAGGTAAGTGCACCCATGTTGTGCAAGGCCTGTGGAGGTCAGAAGAGGCTGTCGGATCCCCTGGGACTGGAGTTACTGACAGTTGTTAGCTGCCATGTGGGTGCTGGGATTCAAACCTGGGACTTCTGCAAGAACAATAAGTGTTCTTAACCGCTGAGCCATCTCTCCAGCCCCTATTTCTTTCTTTTTTTTTTTAATTTTTTTTTTCTTTTTTGGTCTTTTTGAGACAGGGTCTCTCTGTAGCCCCAGCTGGCCTGGAACTTGCTATGTAGACCAGATTGGCCTTGAACTCACAGAGATCTGCTGCCTCTCTCTCTCCAGTGCTGGGGTTAAAGGCATGTGCCACCACACCCTGAAAATTTATTCATTTTCATTTTATATGTATGAGTATATTGCCCGCATGTGTGTAAGTGCACTTGTGTTGTACAATACCTGGGGAGGACAGAAGAGAGTGTCTGATTCCCTGGAACTGGAGTTACAGACAGTTATTAGCTGCCATGAGGGTGATGGGATTCAAACCCAGGTCTTCTGCAAGATCAACCAGTGCTCTTAAGTGCTGAGCCATCTCTCCAGCCCCACTGTTATTTCTACCTGAGTTTACCTTTTAACTTTTACTAGTTTGGAGTCAGGAAGCTCTAGCTTATCGTACTTACTCAGTTTACCCTTTAGCTTTCTGGCCACCCAGCGGCTCTTGTAGTTCATTTTTAACTATAGAGACAAGTAGTTTGAAGATTGTTTGCTGAAATGTTAGCATTTGAAAGTTCTGTGATGCCTCTTTAGGCATCTGCCTGCTCTCCCCATTCCCTCACTTCTTGCCTACCCCAACATTATTACTGCTGAACTTCACCCAGGTGGGCTGCACTGTCGTTTTTTGTTTCTTACTTTCCTCATATACTTAGAGCATCCTCTGAGCTTCACCCAGAGCTCTCCACACAGACCTGTCTCCACATAGACAGGCTATGAATTATAGACATGGGAGGAGAGAATTGGGTCTAGAGCTGAGAGCCCCCTGGCTAGGATCCGAGGACTTCCTAGGGCAATACTCTTTAACCTATAAACTTGACACCTACTGTGTGCTATAAATGAGCCTGGACATGGGGTTTGAATAAGTCACAAACTTAAAGGCCAAAGACTGAGTTAAGAACAGATAAATAGGGTCTGAAGAGATGGCTTAGTAGTTGAGAACACTGGCTACTCTTGCAGAGGACCCAAGTTGAAATCCCAACACCCACAAGGTAGCTAAACAACTGTCTGTATTTCCAGCTCCAATGGATCTGATGCCCTCTTCCGATCTCCTCAGGCACTGTATGACATGGGTGCACCTACCTACATTCAGGCAATGCACTCATACACATAGGCCCAGAGTTAGAGAAGAGCAGATTGGTTGATTCTTCTGCCCAGAGGACTCAGCAAGGGCTTCAAAAAGGAGGAGACATTCAAACCAAGTTTTGAGAAAAGAGAAGGCAATCACAGAAAAGAGCATATCAAATGTCCCAGGAGATGCAGGTGAAGCTGACAGAGGAAAGACCTCTAAAAAGTCTCCTCCATAAACGCAATGAGAGAACTAGCAAAGAAACTGTCAGAATCAACTATTTCAAACTTCCGGAAATTACTCAGAGGCTTGCAGCAATCTGGGAAGTGCTATTCAAAAAACAGCAATCTACTCTCAGTAAGAGCAGCGAGCTTTGTGCATTTTGACTTGCTGTGATGCCATCCCCCTCACTCCAACTTTGCAGTAGTCTTGAAAACCAACATCCCGCAGTCACAGTGGAAATCAGTAGCTCAGCAGCCCCAAGAAGGGGCAGCACGGGATTGGGGCTCCTTCAAAATGCCTTCCCAGAGAGCTGCACTAATCTGACCTGTCTGGTGATTCTCCAAAAGATCCCATTTACAAGATTATCTTCATCTGACCTAACTTGGAACCTGTCCTGTCTCAATTCCTTTTTATTTAAAGGTACTTGTTTTTTTAAAAAATAGAAAACAACAAAAAATTTTTTAATTAAATAAGAAATAGAAAACAATTGTTAGATCTTACGGGTAGTGAGCAATAATTGGTTTAAGCAATAAACTACATTAAAACTCTTAAAGAAAAATCTGGGGTATGAGATGC